GGATCCACGGAGCATTGAGATCCACCCTTGCGGGAGCCCCTAAACTCATCAATTCATAGTTTCTTTTAGTAAGAAAACATGGGAAAACCATAGAAAACCACTAGGTATGAGGATGTATGAGGCATCTATAGGATTCTATAGGTAGGTCGAGCTTTTGCCATGTCTTCAACCACAAGGAATCACCGCACACTCTGGGTATCCCTGGCCGTGGGCAAAACCATCGCGCTCTCAGTGAGATCCTTTTGTGCTTGACCAACAGTTCTAGGATGCATAGTGGCAAAACATGCTAAAATACCCAAACATACACTTGAACTATGGTACAGTAAAATCAGGTCTAGCAAACTGCTGAAACCTCAATTAGTCGGTCGGTTTCTGATCTTGATCAGGTGGATCGAACCGCCAAAAGATGGAAACGGCGAACAGCTGGGCAAACATTAAAATTCTGTTAGCCCAATGTTGGCTTTACTGGTTTTACTGGTGGAGAATCCAATGGCTTTTCAAAGGAATTTTGATTGGAGGTTTGATTGGCTCAGGATGAGGATGGCCGCTACCACTCAGACAGTGATTCTTCAATTGAAGGACCGGGTAATCTCCGATTTCATCTGACTAAGAGGGGGGACAGACGTCTGGCACGCAAAACTGATTAGCTGGCTATACTGCTATCAGCAGCCATGCACAAATAAAAGTGCACGAGATGATAACAATAGATAACAATAGAGCATATAACTCATACAACTGCATATTAATTGCATATTAATTGCATACTAACTGCATATTAGCTGCATATTAATTGCATATTATATAACTGCAACCAATACGAGTATCTCAGCAGAACCATGATGAAGCACTTTCGCTTCCCCTTGACCTTCGCATTTGCAGCTCAGTCCTTGGATCGCCAAACTCCAATATTACCACCAGAGATCTTGTACAAGAAGGTGCTGGCAGCGTTGAAGGAGACCTGCTCCAAGTCCGCAAAAAAACAGGACATACCTGGACCATACTGGACCCAATTTCCATTCATATCCATTCATTTCAATTATATAATTCCCATGCCTTGTGTAGTTCCGGCATCGTTCCGGCATCGTGTGATAGTTCCGACAGGTCTACCCCATCTGCCACGGCGTGCCTCACGTCCCTTCTCCCACTCCAAGAAGTCAAAGTGGTCCGACTTCTCCCCGCGGTTTTTCACCTCGGCAGGGCGCCACTTTTGATGTGCTGGACCTCCTGCAGCAATTCTCGCTGCTCTCAGCATGGCACATTGAAACCGAGGTAAATGTCCTCGGAAAGGTTGATGTGCGGCGTTGCTTTACCTGGGCCAAGACAAGTTGCCAAGATTTTGCCGACATTTGGGCAAAGGGTTCCAGAATGGATTCTGACGGTCAATGGACTTCCAGTGTAGAAAATTAGTGAAAGATCATAGTATTGATCAAAATTTTGGCATCTCCACAACTGTCTTTTACACACCAAACTTGTTCAGCGCATTCCAACCAGGCCAAGAGGACTACTAAGACTAGTCTGCGCGCCCCTACTCAGAATCTCTGCAAAAGAGCAAAACCACAACATCCTGCCACGAGACTCATGGAACCACGATTGCGAGCCCAGTAAAGGTCCTCGGTTGAGCAAATGAATCTGGGCTAATGTTACCAAAAAACCTGAAGCCGGTCTCGCTTCATAATGACCATGCATAATGGGTCAGCGGCCCTCATGAATCTATTCTTGAATTGGAGCAACACATTTTCCAGAGTTTACCCCAAACATCCCCAAACCAAGTCCAAACAACAAGGACCGTGTTCGGCTTGATTCAACGGTCTGCGCATCATGAAAATGACATTCATCATAAGACTCCTTCAGCAAAAGACGAAAATTCTGGAGCTCTGAGATCTTTTTAGCTGAATCTGGCTGACAAGTTTCCACAAAATCAGGATGTCCATAGTGCATCCGCACACCCAGCCATGTCTGAACCTGCAGTCCCGCCCCTGGTGGAAAGCCAGGCCGATTCTAACGGGAGATGGACAGTCTAGGCTACTAATCACGATGAAGATACAGTAACTGTTTCTCCAAAGACAATTGCCTTTGGCTGCAAGATCTGGAAGAGAACAATGGCCATAATCCAACACATAAATAGGGCAGTTGGCGCTCTCACCGCCAAGGATTCATCAAGTATCAGCGACTCAGGGCCCCCAGCACGTTGGATTGAGGTGCCGAAGCACCATTCTGCCACCGCATTGATGTCCTCAGTAGTTTGACCAACAAACTGACGCTGGGGTGTTTAATGAAGACCTGAGAGTGACCGATTCACTGATGGTTCGGATGGTTGAAATTTCCGGGTTGATCCCCAATCCTGAAGCAAAGATGTATGAGTCATGGACAACCCCTCAGGCATCGTCCGCCCTAACATTTGGGCCCTCGGGCCCCACAAATCCCATGCGCTACTGTGAAAATGTGCTCGCGGAAGCCGATCAGCCTTCATCAAGATCTTGACTGACTTGTGTCAGCCATCAACATGTTCAATGCAAAATGATACAAAATGCCTTGAGACTTGACACTCGGGCACGGAGGGTTGGAACAAAATCAATGATTGCCACAAAATTGTGCAATGCCATCTCTTTGCAGAATGTTCAAGATATCTTCAAGTAGGACAGGGAAAACTACTGAACATCCTGCACACATATTGTGTAATTGGCCAAACGTTCTCTTTCCATGTATGTCGTCTGCATGTTCGATACATTCGCTTTGCGTTCCAAAACCTTTGACACCTTTGACGACTCATGTGCTGAGTCGAACGAGCCTTGCAGTCACCACGTCTCGAGAGGAACCACGTGGCTGAAAGCGCTTCAAGACCATGGGAACCTGCAAAGTCATGCTAATGACCACTTGATCTCGCAAATCATTGACCTATAAAGGCCTATAGAAGATCCCCGTTGCCATTCCCTGGGTGGGGTCGCAGTGGACCATTTTGTAGTGGTCTAGCCTTTTGCTCTACAAACTGGTTGTGGTACATAGTCTCCATCCTACAAAACGGTATGTCCATAAACCATGGCTCTACAAAATGGTAGTGCCTGTCACCTGTTTTGATCCACAAATATTTTGACAATTTTGTCAAAAAAATGATCAAACCAGTGCATTCATAATCTTATAAAAAATATAAAAAATCATTTTGTAGAGCATCTATCTTGGCAAGAACTCAGCGTCAACTGCCTTTTTCCCAGGGCCATTTTGTAGGGTTTTCACCCTCTAGTCCATCTTCACTCATCCTTTTCGGAGGTGGAACCAATCTGTTTCGTGTGTGCGATGAGCACCAAGCACGCGAGGGCCAACATGGGGGAATATTGGGACGGCGGGGAAATTTAAATGTCCTAAAGCGTTTCCGAGCCAACCATTGCAAACACAAATATGCACTTACAAAATGGTACATGTATTGAAACGATGGGTTCTCTACAGAATGGCTAGCTGATTTTTCTTTGTCAATGACTAATTCACATTTTTTAAAACCACCAAATCATACCCTTAAAAACCTCTACAACATGGCTTTTGGTTTGTTACAAAAATGGTTTGTCTTGGTGCCCATAAATGATCATGCCTTCAAACTAAAAATGATAAAACCAGCTAAAACCCACAAATCACTACAAAATGGCAAGCTCGACCCCATTTTAAGGAACCATTTTCCACAGAATGGTGGCGTTATAGGGGCCCCAACCCCTCCCATTCTGTGGGGGAAATGGTGTGGAGGATTATAGAAGCTGCAAATTTCTGTCAATCCCACATCCACCGTTTCCAAGGCGGTCATTGCAAAATGCTCAAGATCTAAAGCAAGAGGCAGTCTTGTGCTAAAATATGCGAAAGATCGCGAGAGACGATTTTGTGCAAATGTTCTCAGAAAAAATGCTGATATCCTGCTATCCAGCCACCCGAAAAGCAACTCTGGATCAGCCTTGAATGCTTCACCGATGAACGAACCCATGTTGGCATCCATCGCCTCGACACACCGAGGCGCTCCAACAGGGTCATTGGGGTTCAAGAGCTCATACGATTCTGCCATTCTGCCTATCAACTTTTATCAACTTGCCGATAAATGATGTGCCAAACTATGCCAAACTACATCTCCAATGCCAGAATGCCATCTTCTCTCATTTATTCCAGTTCTTGATGCCAGGTGGATCTGCGACCGGCCCTACCTGCAAAGCGAAACCCTTGCAGAAGCGCAAAGCCATCAACTGATTGCCAGCTTTGCCCTGCGTCAGATTTCCTGCGCAATGTGCAGTCGGACTGGATTCATGTCTCATTCTCAAAGTCGGAAAAAAAACTCCTGGGCAACATTTAAAAGAAACATCCTTCAAATTCTCTCGGACGTCCAACAGCTGGGATCTTTCTACACGCGTATGTATATATATATATATGTATATGTATATATATATATGTGTATATATATATATATGTATATATGTGTATATATATGTGTATATATATATATATGTGTGTATATATGTATATATATATATGTATATATATATATGTTTATATGTATATATGTATATATATATATGGATTTCTCGTTACTGCATGTTACTGTCTGAAAGCCAGGGAACTGATTCGAATCCGTGGCACATCCATGTGATGGTGAGGCAGGATTTCTGCACAGCCGCCCATCCCAGGTGCCTTTGTTCTTCCCAATCATCAAGGGCAGTCGTCGAGGCATGGCCTGGCCAACTACCCTGGCAAACCAGTCTAGTTGTCCCCAGGTTATTGGTGGTTTCATCGTTTCATGATCTACGCATAAAGCATGAGGTATCAATAATATCTAAGCATGATGCATAAAGTCGTTGATACATCAAATGCTGTCTGAATTATTCTGCGGTATCACCCGTGTTTTGGTCACGTATATATATATATACATACATACATATATGTATAATAGAATTAATATAATATAATATAACATAATATAATATACTATACTATACTATGATATAATATTATCATATTCTATCACGCATAATATACTATGACTATGCTAATCAGAAATCAATCATGTAACAATATGTATGTATATATATATTGTATTACATTGTCACATATGAATATATGATACATACATGATATGTACACATCTGTATTCATTGCACCCCAGCGGCCTCCATCAACTCCAAGTTCAAGACGCTCGTGGGATCAAAGGCTTCCACCTACGGAGCTGTGACAGCTGGGGTCTTGGCAAAGTGTTTCTTTGCAACGTGGAATCCAAAATCCGAGGAGCCAAAATGTGAAACATTATGAACGCATTGAAACATATTGAAACAATGCTTTTTTGAGAAGCCACAACAACTGCAATCATACAGATACGTTTGGAATGTATTGTGAAAAAGCCTCAAGAACTGAACTGCAGTCACATGCGGAAAACTTCAAAAGAAGCAGTGTCTCGATGACTTTCTGCTCACACCTGTGACGCGATGAACTTGCCATCCAAATTGCTCAACTCCAACTCCTTCGCTGCGACAAGACGTGTGAAACATCTGCAGCCACTGTGCCGCAACCTCTGAGATGCTGGCCAGCTCATGTGGCTAGATGGCTTGAAGAGTTGCACACCATCAACCACGATGAGTCAATATGTGATCTATTCCCTGACCTTAAAAATCAGACGAAATTGTAGAAACTGAATCATTCGACATGACCCATTTCCTCTGCAGCTTGTGCCAGTATGTGCCAGTACCACTATCTTCATAGGCCTAGAATCACAACCATCCCGCGGATTCCCGCGGCATGTTCCCACATCGGGACCCTTTCCCTTTCGCTCCCGGATCAGTTTGCGTCTTTCTTCCAACAAGGGCCGCTTTTTGTACATCGCCTGAAGAGCCGGAACCAGCGACAGAAAAACGTGTTCCTACTCTGCGCATGTTTCTCCAAAAGGGATCAGAACTTCCAATTGATTGTGGCTTTCAGTTGCATCCACATCTGGTTGGACGATGTTGGAAGCACTCCTCAGGATTCCTCAGGAATTTGTGTTTGTTCATTCAAACGTTTCAACTGATGCTTTCACTCTTTACCGCCGCCTTGCAGGACATGTAGGGGAAGTGATCAAAGAAGTGTGTGTCATCAAAATACTCATCTGGCACGCCCATTTCCTCAAAAGCCCCGAAGCATTCGCAGGGCCAGCAGGCTTTGGGTCACCGAGATAGGATGGTAAAGGAAACCGTTGAACAGTTGAAGTACAAAAAAAATCGAACAGATACTGCAATGCCAGCAAAAGGCTAGAGGAAACAATCAAAAGGCCATGAATCGTCTGTGGAACAGTCAGCAGCTAGTTGCGGCAAGGTCTGTACTGACTTCAGACGTCAAGATGAAGAGCAGAATGCAGTAAGGGACGATTCATCCACACCAGTCGTGGACTTTTGAATATTGAAGAAATTGTTTAAGGTCATATTATATCATATTCTTTGAATCTGCAATGAAGATTAAACTATTAAATGCTGCGCACTTTTCATTATATCTTGCCGCAAAATCCAAAGCTACAACCAAATTGCCAACAGATCACTCCCAATCCAAAATAATCCAAACCAAGAAAGCGTAGAATCATGTCGCATCAAGTTGAAAACTCACCGTCCCTGCGTTGTCTGGATTGAAACTCAACTGGACAAAGTGTCGTTGAGGGGTCTCAGTTTCACTTAACCCCTGGCCTGGTTGATCTAGTGTCGCAAACTGCACAGGGGACAAGGAAAGTTAAGTTCTGTCGGAAAGCAGCGCCAAAATTTACAGAAACAAGCCTGACTACAAACACAAATAGAATCAGTTGGTAGTCTAACATCTCATGATCCCTGATTTTGACTCAACAACCACTGGAGAAGTGGATGTCAAAATATGTCAAACCAGGCCCCAACTGGCATACTTTTCATCCGGCGACTGCAATGACAAGGTGCATGACGCAGGCGGCGCCGCACCATCTGCCCCATGATCTTTCGGTCCAGGGTGGTGAGATGTACCATGTCCAAATCAAAGACCAAGTAGATGGGATAGTCCTCGATGGATGCTCTGGGATGGTCAAAATCCTGGTACCCGGCCCTGGTGAACATATGTGAACATCAAAATCAAAACAACTGGTAGATGGCAATCCCCCGACCCATACCCATATCAATAATATCAATACAGAAACCACAAAGGCGTCCTCGTAAAGGCCCAGCAAGCGACGTACATCGCCTGAGGTGGCCAAATAATTCCGAATCATTAGTCAATTCATTATCCAGATCATTCTCCTGAATGAATCTAAATGATCCTAGTCAGGAAAATATTGGCACATGTTGCAGGTGACATGGCAGGGATGACACACTCTTGGAGCGTTCACATAAACATACATAAACGATATTCTGTTCTGCCAAACTCACGGAAACTAAGGATCACTTGGATTCCAACAGACCCAAAGAATTTCTGGATCAAGCATCACGGAGATTTATCTCTAAATGGAGCCGAGCAGCTATCTTTCTTGTTATCTTCTCCATGTGTCTGATGCGACCATATCAACTCCTTAGCTTTGCCAAGTAAGTGATGGCAAGTGCTGATGAATCGTGCCTGCAACCTTGTCCAGTAAATAAGAAACATGTAACATCGAAGACAAAGCATCTGAACTCCAAAACAGATATGCGGGGGGAAATGACATCTGGGATACTGTATCCTTCAGGCAAGAACAGCTTTCCGGACTTCTATATTCAATCATGCTATATCATGCCACTTTGTGAAGCTCATTAAGAAGAAACATGCTTATCCTTCCCACGCTGCGACTCTCTTTTTTGAAGCAAAGTCTTTGCTTGACTCATTGTCAGAAAAAAAGAACACAAATTCAATTCTACCATCATCTATATATCTATATATATATACATAATAATTAATCATAATTATACATACTCGCTTTGCATTCGTGCCAGAATGTGCCAGCCTTCGCTCGGATCCGCATATTTCGCATATTTAGACCATGTTTTCACCTCCCTGCACGGTGTTCCCAAACCAATACAGTAAGGTACAGCAAGTTTTGAGGGAAATATCTGAATATCCATAACATTTCTCAACTAGGCTCTTTTTGCTCAGGTTTCAATCCGTCCATTCTCTTGCCAATTCAGCTTAGTTTCTACATACTTTTCCAGCTGCTGACGTTTCGAGATGGCTGAATGCGGGGACCTTGGCAACGCTCGAGACACGGATAATTCCTGTGATCATCTCCAGATTTTGGGGTCCACTGCAGTGGTTGTGAGGAAGCAACGGTTGATCTTAAAAATCACTGTGTTGACGGCAAGTGGATGCGTCCTCTTGGACTGAAATGGACTGAATACGCGTAGAGATTAACATAGGGACATGGAGTCCCAACTCTACTTGTCAGGTCTGAAACTCAGATTTCGCTGGAAACAGCTATTTGGGCCAGTCGCACAGTTTGCTATGTAAATTGTAAACTATGTGGCTTCTCTCCCTTACAACGGTTTTCAAGGAAACGATTGCCCTAGTAGACTCACGTTGGCATCCCTTTCTCTTGTCATGTTGTGTCCATCCTTTGCTGCCAGGTCGCACAATTGTTGGATTTGCCTCCAAAGCGATGTGGTAGTTGACCTCATGTCGGGAGTCGGGAGGACTCCAAAAAAGAATGTGCTTAGACAACTATATATCTTCATACTGTAGTGGTTGCAGGACGTTGCAGGTATAGTATGTTTCGATATGTTTCAATCTACCCCAAACTAAATAGGGCGGCCCCATTTGCAAGTGAGCCAGCCATACCTACTAACCAGGCATTAAGATGTATTAAGTGGGATGGTCATCCAACTGTGCAACACCAGGGTAACCCAAAATTCGAATGGTTCACCACCATTGATTGCCCCATTACAAGAAAATACATAGAAATGCAATTTTGGAGTACCACATTTCTATTCCTTTTGGGAGGAACACCACGAACACGTTTAATCTACGTTTTCCCAACTTTCTATTTGGAACCACACAAAACATCGAGCATCATCAAACAATCAAAACCACACCCCCATCTGGCATCATCTGGCCCCATCATTGCCTTTTGGGCCCCGGATGGCCCCGGCAAACCGTTTCAGCTGGGAACACGCCGAGCGGCAGCTCCCTGGACGGTGCGCATCACCGTCTGCGACCGCATCGAGGCCCAGAGGCGAACTTCGATCCGCGTTTTGTCACTGACGCCGGGCTGCGCCTTCCCCAGGTATCCTTGGTGCATCTTGGTGCCGAATGCCGGGATCAAAATGGAACAAGATGGGACAAGTACACTGAAAAACCTAAAGCTGGGAGTTCAACAGTCCTTTCTTGGTTCAGAAGTGCATGTAGCAAGCTCAGTGGAACCGCTTCAACCCACTGTCAAGGTCAGTTAGATGAAGCAATGAACACTATTCACCTCCAATTTTGAGCCATGCCAACCAAGCTTCTTAGTAGGAGGTTGCTCTCTGCCAATCTCGCTGTTAGCCTTTGCCATTCCTGTGCCGCTGCAAAGTAGCAGCACACTGGACACTCATGGAATGCAATGTCCATGCCTGGCATTCCCATTTTCTAGACAGGTCTAGACATCACAAGCACCGGTGCACCTAAATGTTCTGAGGCTACAGACTTCTCTAACACTTGGCAGCATCTGTAGCAACTCTTGACCAAACCTGCAAACACTGAGCATGACTGGCCCAGTCCTTTGGATACTTCATGATGATCCACCGCAAGTTGTTGCCGTTCTGCGCCGTCAGAAAGCCATCCTGCAAAATCACCTCCGCTGAAGCGTGCGAACTGGCGGAACCGGCAAAGGCTTGGGGGATGTTACGATATGTTACGTCCAACATCGCATACAGTCACGCAGCTCAATCAGATCAATCAGTGGTCCAGAATTCTCTGAGTTTCTCCCCAAACTGGGCCTCTTCGTTTACTGCAGGCAAGACTTGCGACAGCGGCATGATGTCGTGTGTGCGGAAGATGCCATGGTGAGAGATGGGCGGATTCTCCTCCGCCGAGACTGGATCAAAACCAAACGCTACCCTGGCGAACCTAAATATTTGTTATAGATGTTCATGCTCCCTCAAATATGGTACGTATATTATTAATATGTGTGTATATATATATATTATACATATATTGTGAGATAAATCCGGCCGCCCCAACATATTCAATATGGTAGAAGTATAATTAATAGGTTTTGGCCCACCACACCCGCAAACTTTATGATCTGCATCCGCTGCATCCTGTTTCACTGAGTTGAACATCGCAGTATGAAGTCACTTGCAGTGGAACATGCCTTTGCAAAGAGTTGCAACAACTATCCCACCAGGTCCCACCAGTCTGGGTCTCCTCCATTCGCAAGCGATCTTCGCAAATGGTACCTTAAATCCGACTGACCCATGCTGATCCTAGAGTCCGAGTCGGAAGTTGGTGTATCTTGGGGCATTCCTGAACTTCAGAAAGCCAGCACGACAAAACAATGCCAAACCTTGCCAAACCACAGGCGGACACATTTACATGACAAATGGCAAAATTTTGCGGCTTTTAGCGGCTTTTAGCGGCTTTTGCGGTCCGGCACCCAGGCCGCACCCAACAATTTATCAGATTGGTCATTGCTAATCTACCCTTTCATGAGCTCGTGCTCCAAGGTACGCAATGACGCAAAGAAAAAGGTAAACCGCTCACGGACCACGGGATGAAGGGTGTGAAGGTACACTGGTGCGTCTGGATTCTTCTCCTTGGTGGTCCGTTCTGCAAGGGAGATCCACCATGTGAGCATTCTATGACTGAGACATGTGCCACCCTGGAGAATTCTAACTACCTGAATTTACTGAAGCTGCAGGGGAGTTGAGTTCTCCAACGTCCCCTGAAGTGATCCTGAGTCAATTAAAGCACCGTACAACGCAATTTAGATTCTTCACTATGCTTTGTGTCTGTCTTTCTATCATTTATTCTAAATGTCCAATAGTTTCTTACGTGCGGGGAATCGGAGTCTTGTCTCTCAGCTCCGAAAACGAAATCCGATCCTATCCAATTGAATCAATTGAATTCTATCTATTCCTATAGTCCCATGATGAAATCTCAGACCAAAAACCTCCACATGGCAGCACCAAACCGCCGTGGCACCGAGTTGTTCTTCGTGGCCATCTGCATCAACTCGTCGGCTTCGCTGCTACTGAGGAGATCCTCCTTCCAGAGGCGATAACCTCGGCTGCACTGGAGATCTGCAATGCATTCACATATATTCACGTAAACGTGTCAATCTATTAATATATATATGATATATCTAATATATATATATACTGCAAATGACATAGATAAACATCAAATGCCTCTGTCTCGCATAATTATACAGTAACCATGATATGCACACTGCATCACTGCATCGTATGAGACGTGCAGCATATTACCTGACATGAATGCAGGAGACAAGTTCTAGGCAACAACCAACACTCATGCCATCCACACACACACCACAGATTCAGCTGTCCAGTCTCGAGAAAGGTGCAGGGAAGATGGCTCCAGTTTTTCATGTCTTGCCCGGCTAAAACAACTATTGTAAGTCCCAAAATGGGCTGAAGGAAAGCTTTGCCGCACACCCCAAAGAAATGAAATGTATGGACAGAAGCTGTGGTTTCGAAGGAAATATTGGAAAACCAATGGAAAACCCATCTAAGCCAAGTATCAAATCAAGTTCCAAGTATGTCGCCATCCATTTCCAAAGACTCGCCTCGGCCAGAGGGTGAGAATCTGGTGCCTTGAGTTCAATGGTAGGACCGCCATGGATGGCCACTCTGATACTCTAATACTTATTTACTATCTATATCTATCTATCATATGATATATATATACACATGTATACATGAATCTATTTGATACTAAATGATAGTGTGATATGTAATAAACGAGCAAGTCAGCAATCATCTCAAGGAAAAAAAACATAGAAATAGAAAACAATATTGACAAAATGATACATGACATATCATGACATCAGATGCTTCCAAGTTGCTGCATGAGTTTGCCGGCTCTGGGGTTGTTTTCACCCACACCCAGGTTGGAATCGGACAGAAACACCGCCGAGTCCGGGGCCTGAGAAATCTTGGCAGTGGCGAATTATTCCTGTCCTTCTATGAACCATCATCAGTGGTTTAACCATTGAATTTAACCATCAAAAACGGTGGTTTAACATGTTTTAAACTTTTTATGCAAACCATCCTTGAAGGATATTATAGCAATATAAATGCAATATAAATCAATCATAAATACCTTCAATGTGCAAACCAAGACTTCCGAAGCCAGGGCTCTCAGCCCTAGTCTTGAAGTCTTGAATCCAAACTCTAAAAGCTGGGTGTCATCCCTGGCTGCGACCCTTACATGTCACATAAAAATGTGCTGAGCCCAAACACTGCCATGCTGCGTGAAAACATAAAACAACTATACGAGTATCATAAGATGCTTGCTACCACAGTGCAACACATTGTCATTACATGTCATTACGCCAATCACAGGCATGGTGAATCATTTGGGCATGGATCAGTGGATCATTTTCATTATATAGTCATGAACATGCTGGAACACGCTGGAACGGATGGTCATCTGCATGCCTGGACGTCCACCTGGGACGGCCCGCCTTGCGCATGCCATTGAGACCACGCTGGGTGCCCAAGACGATTCCAATCTGAGCAGAGTGTCAGGTCAGGAGATCTCAAGATGCCAAAGTGTTGGGAAAATTGTTGAAATGTATCAATGATGCATCAATGGCCAATGGATGCCAATGGCTTTTTGTATTCAGGGGTGTGCCGTACTGGTTCTTCTTTCTCTATCTACATGTTGATTGAGCTCTCAAAACATCGTTCTGGAATGTTCTGGATCTGTCTTGACACCAACCGACGGGCTTTTGACTAAAAGCTGGCTGCGATGCACACACGAAAGCAATTCAGCTATGAGTGCATCTGAAAGCAGACTGGACTGTACTAGACTTTGCATGAGTGAATGATAAAACACGTATCACCCAGTATACATTTAAAGCAATTTGTGTTGACTTTTTAGACAGTTCTAGGGTCCTTTGGGGATCAAACAGGGGTTCATCGTATTTCATCGTTGTGGAAAAACCCTGTGGCCTGCCACTAAGCTCCACCAAGCGTCCAAGGAGGTGAAGAGGACATGGCCCATGAAGACATCAATGAACAGCATTGACGCAAGCATCAAGTAAAGAATCAGCATACCTTGGAGTCTTGGAGCTGGAAAAATTGGAACACCGCTTTAGTGAACTCCAAGATTCCGTGGCGTCCATCTTCCCAATAGAACCTGCTTCAAACAACCGTTTGTTGTTGAATGCTATTGAAATATATTGAAATATATTATATTGAAATGTTGTGGAAAGGTTTGAACTGATAACCCACACCTTATGCACCCTGTAATCATCCAAGTTGCTTCCATTGCAAGCTACACACTCTGAACGCCTGAGATGGGTCAACATACGTCAACGTGTGCAGCGCGCAGAAATTGAACTCCGAACGGAGTAAAACAAACATTCAAAGCAATGATTGCTGTATGAAGCTTCCATATATCTGAAGAACCTTTCAACCTGAGAGGCCTGGTTGGTTCTCAAATTCATAGATTTCATAGGCATGCTGCTTTCCATGTGGAAGATTGTGGAAGATAATCCTGCTTGCTAGCTACTACTCATATGACATGTGATGCAGCTGCTTCCAGCGGATTGCATCGCCGAGCTGCCAGGGCAAGGGATGGCAGCGACTGGAGCAAAGGGAATCAAAGCTCAAGCCCTGCATCACGGGAAAAACCATGTAGATCTCCATCACAAAGCAAAACCTCAGTTACTGATGAGCCACAAAAAAGAAGTTAGGAATAGTTAGGATAATCATGATAATCACCTACAGTAATTATAAAATTGGAACATATTAATGAACTAGCGCTAATGGTCCATCTCTGGGATTCCTGATTATGGTTGTTGTAGCTGAATATAGCTGAATGTACATTATCATTAACAACACAAACCATCCCATGGGATAATATTGCCCGTTCAAAACGGCTTGCTTCTTGCCGACCCCGTTTGCCATTGGACCGCACAAACAAAAGCAGTTCCGGGTTGGTTTCCAAACACAACAGATCAAGAAACCCTTCACTGGGAGAGGGCAGGAATCGACCACAGCAAATATTCAAAGCTTCCAAGCCACCCAAGGACGATGACCCAGTATGCCAGGCGCTTCCAGAAAGGCGCAGTGGCACCTGACAAGGCTCAGCAGCTCAAAAAACAACCGAGTTATCACCCTCCAAGTCTTTCACCTTCCAGAGCTCCAGCTATGGTAGCTCTGCACTCATGGGAAACCCACCTTCGCTGTCAAACTTCGGCTTCGGATCCTTGGGGCCCTGGGGAAAGGGCTCCTGTGCCCGAAAGCAGAACCTGAGGTTTGTGCGGGCGAAGGAGCCCTTGTATCCCTGACAGTATCTGCAAATGGAATAACAGCAAAGATCAGCAAAGTAAGTGGAATGGGAGAAAGTGACTCATCTCACAACTCATTCTCTCGATCTTTGGTCATGTAATTTGCAGTAGACGTGACTTCATCAACATGCTGGGAGTGCGGCTTACTCAAATTCCCTGGTTTCCAGGGGATAGACTACAGTATCCTATCATATCCTATCACCATCGCATTGGCTTCTGCTGGGGTCCCCGACACCGGCAGCGTGTTCCGCAACCTCGGCTCTTGTGCGAATGGGCATGGCATTGGCATTGGCATGGCATTGGCATGGCACACCCTGGTGATTTGCTTTGCCAATAGCTTTGCCAAGCCGCAGCGTCAAATAAGCGGCCCTCCATATCAGGAAGCCAGGTCCAACAAGCTTCACCTCAGCTGCTCGCCTTTGGCAAATGTTTCTGGTAAAAGGAGAAGTGATGCTTCTGGCAGCCTGAGCTTGCGCCATTTTTTTCAAGCCATCTTGGCCGTCTGCCAAGATCCTTTCGTGGGTCAGAAGTAAGTAACAACATCAGCCAAATAGGTTCAGATAAAACGAGCTCGAAGGCTTGGAATCATCATGCACCAGAGGGTAATCCAACAGAATAAGAGCAGATGTGCGTCCCAAACCCCATCTGGTGGAAACTCATGGTCTTAAGATTGCCCACCTTTGCTGTGAACCTTTCAATTTTGCCCAGGTGCAAAGTCTGCATCTGGCATGACGGCGTAGATAATGAACACGCCCTTATGTCCGGTGCCCAACCGCCACGCACTGCCCTGGCACCAAGCCATGAAAACCTTTCTCAGCTGGGCCTGTGTTGATTCCGCTTACAAGAAATGGGGACCCTGGGGACCCTTGAAAATGATATACTGCAAGCATAAGGCAAGCATCATTTCAAGGGGAGTTGTTTCTGCCAAGGCACAAAGGAAATCAGCAGCCCGAAACAACGTTTCAGTATCTCGCGCCGACGCGGGGCGCTGCCATGGATGTAGCCCAAGTTCCAAATGGTCAGCAGCTCCTGACAGCTGGGATGGTCCACATATTACAGTAGGTTTACCATGGTTTACCATCTCACTGTGGGTTACTACGTCCACGAATATGGAAATTTCATGCAATTTGCTATCATCCCAGCTAGTCCTGTAGTAGGTTCTGGTTTGTCACAGACTTCCCCAGGTACGGGGTACCAATGATTTATCAGCTGTCTATGATGTGTCTGTTTCACGGACCAGTTGACAACTGAGCAGTGTTCAAAACCAACAATGTCACTGCACCGTACTGATTGGTTGATAGGGATTCCCATCATGGAGGATGAGAATCCCCATACCCCCCTACAATCATCAACCAACCGGGATGTTCACCAAGGTTCCCGGAGCTCAACCGGAAAGCCAAGTGTCGGCCACTGCCAAAGCAGCTGCGTGATAGTAGGCCTTGGAGGCATATCCCATAGATTATGTCACGTGGGCACTACAATCAGATTGACAAAAAACTGCGCTTGAAATTGGCTGATGGCAATCAGCAAGTCTCCGTTGGTATCTGGCTCACTGGCAACTCATCTTGGTGCTGCAAACAATGAAGCAAGAGTGGGTCTACTGTATTGAGTCTATGGGTACCCAATGGTACCCCAGTGACCCGTAGCCAGTTGCGATGTCAAGTGACCCAGTTGTTGAAGAGCCACATGGGGCGCTTGGAGAGGTCCTGGAGCTGAATGGAAGCAGAACCAGCAGAACCCGGCGCCGCGTTGCGATCCCGCCTCTGAGAAGACGCTATACGCCAGGACCCCAATCATGCCTTGCGGCTGCGCACATGGCCCGAAAGATGGAAACATGAGATGAACGCGGGGGATTTGTATTCAAGAGACATGGAGAAATATGTGCCATAGCCGGAAATAGCTGGCCATAGCTTCAGAAAACAAATCGAAAGATTCAGCAAATCCGAAAATCCTGAGTAGATCTCTGTGTAGCTCTTTGATTTCGACATGCACCTCTGAGCAACTCATGTACTACTAACGTTCTTGTTCATCAAGGAGGAACTACAGAATATGCTCTTGGAAACCAACAATTGACATCACATAATAATATGATATAACATCATAACATAATATAACCATGTATATATATATATATATGTATAACTATAGTCACAACCATCTATCACCAGGGAACTACAGAATATGCTCTTGGAAACCAACAATTGACATCACATAATAATATGATATAACATCATAACATAATATAACCATGTATATATATATATATATATGTATCCGCCGACCCCGGCTGCGCAAGGGGGAGCGCGCCAGGGAATAAGACAAGAATTTGCCACCGCCAGCTACTACTACTACTACTACTGCTACTACTACTACTACTACTACTACTACTACTACTACCACCACCACTACTACCACTACTACCACTACTACCACTACTACCACTACTACCACTACTACCACTACTACCACTACTACCACCACTACTACCACTACTACCACTACCACCACTACCACCACTACCACCACTACCACTACCACTACCACTACCACTACCACTACCACTACCACTACTACTACTACTACTACTACTACTACTACTACTACTACTACTACTACTACTACTACCGCCACTACTACCGCCACCACCACCACCACCACCACCACCACTACTACTACTACTACTACTCCTACTACTACTCCTACTACTACCGCTGCTGAGCAGCCACCAGCAGCAGCAGCATGGCAGACCAGCAGAAGTCAAATCCGCCGACCCCGGCCGACGGCAAGGGGGAGCGCGTCAGGGCAGAGAGGTTAGGGACAACAAGAAATACAACAACGGTTCTTGGGAAGCTTTCCAAAGTAGCTGAACAGCAACAGCAGCAAGCAGCAGGAGGAGGAGGAGGAAATCTAGTGAGATTTCTAGTAGGATTTCAGAAGGGACGTTTCGGCCTCCGGGGAACCGGTTATTGCGACTGATTTTGCGTCATTTTCGGCACGAAATTAGGTGGTGTTTTGCTGTTTCGGCTGTGTTTCGAAAAAGGTGTCTGGCTGCTGGTTTCTAGCTTTATTAGAGGC